CGGGATGGTGATGAATGGAGTATTTGAGAATGGAAAGTGGTGATGATGTAGGTGGTGAGGGAGTGATTGAGGGCGGGGTTGTGATGATGGTGGTGATGGAGTATTTGAGAATGGAAAGTGGTGATGATGTAGGTGGTGAGGGAGTGATTGAGGGCGGGGTTGTGATGATGGTGGTGATGGAGTATTTGAGAACGGAAAGTGATGATGTAGGTGGTGGTGGAATAATTGAAGTTTGGGAAAGTAGTGGTGATGATGGTGATCGAGTAATTGAGGGCGGGAAGTGGTGATGATGGTGGTGATCAGTGTAGGTGCTTATGGAATGATTAAAGGCAGGGAAAATGACAGTGGAAATTATAACTTTAGTAAGTTTGTATGTAGTGTTAATGATTCCGAAAATGGGCAGATGAAGATGATACTGGAGATGCAAAGTATCGAGAGAGAGAGAGAGAGAGAGAGAGAGAGAGAAGAGAGAGAGAGAGAGAGAGAGAGAGAGGAGAGAGAGAAGAGAGAGAGAGAGAGAGAGAGAGAGAGAGAGAGAGAGAGAGAAGAGAAGAGAGAGAGAGAGAGAGAGAGAGAGAGAGAGAGAGAGAGAGAGAGAGAGAGAGAGAGAGAGAGAGAGAGAGAGAGAGAGAGAGAGAGAGAGAGAGAGAGAGAGAGAGAGAGAAAGAAAGAGAGAGTGGAGGCGTGGCGGCGTTGGCACAGACAGCGAGTCTCCACCAGAACGAGAGAGAGGAAGGGAGGGAGGAGAGGAGGGAGGAAGGAAAGGGTTAGGTGGGTGTGTAGAGGGAGCTGGCTGGGCTGAGGGCTGGGGAAGGGGTTAGGGGAGGGGAAGGGGCTGAAATTGCGGAAACGTTTTATCTGGCAGCGATGGGGAAACGTTTATGGCGTAACGTGGCGGCCCTGGCGCTCTCGTTTCTCTTCTCTCCCCTTATCTCTTCTCTTTTCTCTTTGCTCGTTTATCGTCTTCTTCTTTCTTTTTCCACTTTTTTCTCTTTTTCACCTTTTTTCTCTCTCTCTCCCCTCGTTTCCTCTCATTCACATCGTCACCTCTTCCTCCCAAACTCCTTCGCCCTTCCTTCTCTCTCTCTCTCTCTCCTCTCTCTCTCTCTCTCTCATCTCTCTCTCTCTCTCTCTCTCTCTCTCTCTCTCTCTCTCTCCCTCTCTCTCTCTCCCTCTCTCTCTCTCTCCTCCCTCCTCTCTCCTTCCTCTCTTCTCCTCTCCTCTCTCTCTCTCTCCTCTCCTCTCTCTCTCTCTCTCCCTTCCTCTCTCTCCTCCCTCCTCTCCCTCCTTCCTCTCTCTCTCCTTCCCTCCTCTCTCCTTCCCTCCCTCCTCCTCCCTCCTCTCCTCTCCTTCCCTCCCTCCCTCCCTCTCTTCCCTCTCCATCTCTTCTCTACCCCGTCTCTGTTTATCTCTCCCCCTCTTAACAGGCGACAGGACAACGGACCAACGAGTAGATAAACTGTACATATACCTATTGCTGGGTACACCAAGATGGCAACACCTCGTTGAGTGGGTGTGGCTGACGGGGGTGTGTGGCCTGGCGAGGATAGGGGAGGGGGGGTCTTCGGCTCGATTTTGAAGGGGGTAGTGGAGGCGGAGTAGTGAGAAAAGGGGGAAGTGGTGGAGAGGGGAAGGATAGGGAGATGGAGAAGAGGGAAAGGCAAAGGCAGAGGAAGGGAGAAGGGGAGAGGGGAAGGATTGGGGGGGAATGGAGAGGGGGGAGAAAGTTGATAGGAATACGAACACAATGGAAATGAAACGAGAAGCTGAACGTGAGGAAGAGGAGGAGGAAGAAGAAATAATAGTAAAAGTAAAGAAAATTATAATGATAATAGTTGTGATAATGATAATGATACTGGGGAGAAAAGATAGAATAATTATCATAACAACAAATATGCTTGTAGTATATATTCATGGGCGTTGCTATAACAAGGAGAAAAGAAAGAGAAAAGCAATGAAAAAATCTAGGAGGACTAAGAGAAATTATCTTGAAGCCGGAATTCTTTTTTTCGAAGTGAGAGCAAATAGAATGAGGAGAAGGAGGAAGGAGGAGAGGGGGGCGAGGAGAAAGATTGGAAGGATGTGGAGGAGGAGGAGGGGGGGAGAGAGGGGGTTGGAGGAGGAGGAGGGGGAGAAGAGGAGGAGGAGGAGGGAGAGGGGAGGAGGTGGGGGTTGGAGAGAGGAGGGAAGGAAAGGTAAATAAAACGAGAAATGGACCGAGGTCGAAGGAAGGGTGTCACGCGAAGAAGGGAGAGGGAGAAAGAGACGAGAAGGTAGAAAAATGGAGGGAGAAAGGAAGGGGAAGGGAAGGAAGGTGGTGGGAGATGTTAAAGTGAGAGGAAACAAGAAATATGAAGGGAAGTAGAAGGGAGAGTCGTAGGCAAAGGGAGGGGAGGTGGAGGGAAGCAGGGAGATGAGGGGAAATGACAGAGGAGAAAGGGAATGGTGGTGACGAAGAGGAAGGGGAGAAGAGGAGAGAGGTGGAAGGAAGGAGTAGTGGAAAAGGGGGGTATATATGAGGAAGAGGAGAATGAGGAAAAAGAGGAGGAAGGAGAGGAGATATAAGAGGAAGAGGAGTAAGGAGGAGAGCAGGAGGGGGAGGTGGAAAGGGATGAAAAGAAGTTGTATTTAATTAATTGACTTAGACGTTCATTTATATATTCATTTATTCATGTGATCATTATTTCTCTTCGTTTTGAATTCCATTTGAAAGAGCTAGTGTCAGACAGCAGTCAAAGGAAGAGATGGGGGGGGAGGGGGGGGGGGAAGAGGGAAATGGGGAGAGACCGAAATAAAAAGAGAGAGGTAGAATGGGAGAGATGAAAGGGGAAAGACTATGGAATGAAGGAAAGACTTGGGGAAGAGAAGGAGAGAGTTGGAGTTGCGGATAGGGGGGAGAGAGAAAGAGAGAGAGAGAGAGAGAGAGAGAGAGAGAGAGAGAGAGAGAGAGAGAGAGAGAAGAGAGAGAGAGAGAGAGAGAGAGAGAGAGAGAGAGAGAAGAGAGAGAGAGAGAGAAGAGAGAGAGAGAGAGAAGAGAGAGAGGGGGGGGGGGGGGGGGGAGAGAAAGGCTGCGAGGGAGCAGTCAGGAAACAGTAAAAAGAAAAAAGATATAATGTGAAGGGAAAGGATGAAGATAAAGGGAAAGAGAGAAAAAGTCGGGAATTACAATCCCCACCCCCTCGGACTGCCGCAAAAACATCGTCATCATTATCGCATGCGGCCACATGTGGTGTTATCCCCACCCCTCTCCCCTCCCCCTCACTCTTCCACCGATAAAGAAGATAAAGGGGAGAGGGAAGAGGGAAAAGGTAGAGATAGAAAAAGTGATGGATGGACTGATCGATAAAGGGAGGAGAGAATGAGAGAAAAGGAGGAGAGAGGGAAGAAAAAGCAAGGGATAGAGAGGGAAAAGGAAAGGAAGGAAGAAAGAAGGGAGAAACCAAGCGTGGATGAAAAGAAAGGAGCGAGGAAGAGGTGAGGTGGAAAGAGAGAAAATAAAACAATAAGGCGACATCAAATACAAAACAAGACATTTAGACAAAAAAATATCACTATTCTTTTATCTAGAAGCCATTTGGACACCCCGACCGCCCCCATATCAGCCGTTACGTCTGTCTTTTCTTCTTTAACCTCTTTCCTCCTTCCCTCATTTCTATTGTGCTTCTCCTTTCTTAACTTTTTATTCCTTTCTTTCTTTCTTCTCGTTTTGCCCTCCTCTTTTCTCCTTTCCAGTTTTCCCGTCTTCTCTATTTGCTCTTCTATTCCTCTCTCTTATCTTTTCTTTCCTTTTTTCCTACTCTTCGTCCCTTCGCTCTTGTTTCTTCTTGTGTGGGGTTCTCCTCCTTTTCTTCCATCTCCACTCCTTTCTATCTTCTACTTATCTCCCTCATCCCTTCTTCCTCTCCCTTCTTTTACTTCCCATCTCTTCCTCCCTCCTCACTAGTGCTTCAACTCTCCTCCTACATCTCCACCAACCCGCCTCCCTTTCCCCTTCAGTTTACTATTCGCCTCCTCCGCTACTCTTCCCTCTCTCCTTCATCTCCCCCACACCTTTCTTTTCTCCTTTCTCCCTACCTACTTTCTTTTCCCTTCTCATTTTCTTCTCTTTTCCTATTCCTCCCACATACTCTCCCTCTCCTTCTTCCTCTCGGACTTCCCTACTTCCTCTTCTTTCTTTTTCTTCTCCCTTCCTTTCCTCTACCCCTCCTGCTTCTTCGCTTCTCCTTCTCCTCCTTCCCCTTTTCCTCTCCCCCCTCCTCCTCCTTCTTTCTTCTCTTTTCTCTTCTCTTTTCTCAGATCTCTCTTCCTCCCCCATCCATCCTCTTCTTTCCCTTCTCCCTCTTTCCCTTTCTCTTCTCTCCTCCTTTCTTTTCTCTCCTCCTTCCTTTTCCCTCCTCTCCTCTCTCTTCCCCGTTCCTCTCTTCTATCCCCTCTCCTCCCCTCCCCCATCTTCCATCTCTTCTCTTTTCTCCTTTTTTTTCTTTCTCTTCCTGTTTTCCTCCTCTCTTCTTTCTCTTCTTCTCCTCTTTCCTTTTCTTTCTCTATTCTCTCCTCCTCTTCTCCCCTTCATTCTTCTTTCTCTCCTTCTTCTCCTTTCTTTTCTTCTCTACTTTTTCTCTTCATCTTCTTTCTTCTTTCTTCTCTAATCTTTTCCCTCCCTCCTCCTTCTTTTTTCCTTTCTT